AAAACTCGGACATGTCTCTCGAAGCTTTGTACGGTTGCTGCAATCTGTCTGTGCATAATCATGAGAGTCTCTGCATTGGACGATCAGAACATCCAGAAGGCGGGTCAGTAGGAGACATTTCAATTGTGAGGTAATCTAAAATTCAAGTTTTCTTCTTGTTCAAGCAACAGGCAAGAATTTAAACGGTTAGCAAGATCTTACCTCGATGCAGAAACAAGAACTTGACAGTATTTGAACATGATGTGCGCAGTTCAACGAGCACGTGCATTCGCATCAAACGTTCTAAACCATCCACACAGGCAGGCTTCAATATTATAAAGTACAGCTGTTCTTCTACTTTTCTTGAGCAAAGGTGATCTTTACAACAGCTATGACTCTGTTCAATGAAAGAAGCAAGAGCACAGTTGGGAACTGAAGCAATTGAAGGGTCATGTATGAGTACGTGGCACGGCTGTTCTTCTATTACTTTTGCATTTCAGGCTTCAGGAATCTTGCGAAATTCGAGCCTGGCGATGTTTTCGCATCCGAGGTTGCCAAGCATCGCCAAGCTCGACTTTCCCCAAACTTTGTGAGGCTGGAAGTGCCAAAACCTCGCCAAGCTCCAATTTCACCAAAACCCCCAAAATCCTGGCATCTATGAAGCGGGCGGGGCCATAGTTGCTCAGAGTTTGGGAATTTTGGGGAAATTGGAGCTTGGCGATGTTTTCGCACTTCCAGCTTTGCAAACTTTGGGGAAACTGGTGCCTGGCGGTGTTGTCGCATCCGAGGTTGCCCACCTCACATGATCCACTGTTTGAGAAGCAGGTTTGGGTGGATCACGGGGGGGGGGGGGGGGGGGGGGGGCGTGAGCAAATATTCTACCAAATGAACAAATTTATGATTATTCCCCACATCACTGTGAGGTTTTGTTTTTATGTTCCGCACCGTCCGCCGCACAAGGGTTCGTTGAGAGCCAAAACATGCTAAGCTTGAAGCCCTGTTTCGGGCCAAGGGTTTGTTGAGAGCCAGAACATGCTAAACTTGAAGCCCTGTTTCGGGCCAGGGGTTTGTTGAGAGCCAAAACATGCTAAACTTGAAGCCCTGTTTCGGGCCAAGGGTTTGTTGAGAGCCAAAACATGCTAAAATTGAAGCCCTGATTCGGGCCAAGGGTTTGTTGGGAGCCAAAACATGCTAAACTTGAAGCCCTGATTCGGGCCAAGGGTTTGTTGAGAGCCAAAACACGCTAAACTTGAAGCCCTGATTCGGGCCAAGGGTTTGTTGAGAGCCAAAACACGCTAAACTTGAAGCCCTGATTCGGGCCAAGGGTTTGTTGAGAGCCTTTTTTGGAAGGCCCGGCCAGTAGGAAGAGCGTTCCGCATACTGAGTTTGTACTCCAAAAGCGCATTCTGAAAGCCGAGCCACTGGCAAGAGCATTCCGCGTGCTGAGGTTGCACTCCAACAGAGCATTTTGAAGGCCCGGCCACTAGGAAGAGCGAGTTTGCACTCCGAACAAGCATTTTCAGGGCCCGGCCACTGAAAGAGCGTTCCGTGCACGGCATTTTGAAGGCACGCCACTGGAAGAGCTTTCCGCTCACTGAGTTTGTACTCCAAAAGAGCACTTTCAAGGCCCGGCTACTGAGTTTGCACTCCAAATGAGCAGTTTCCAAGCCCGGGCACTGGAAAAACGTTCCGCGTACTGAGTTTGTACTCCGAAAAAGCAGTTTCGAAGGCTCGGCCGCGAGGAAGAGCATTCCGCGTATTCAGTTTTTCCGGCCACTGGAAGAGCGTTCCGTGTGCTGACTTGTACTTCAAAGGAGCATTTTCAAGGCCCGGCCAAAGGAAGAGCGTTCCGCGTACTGAGTTTGCACTCCAAAAAGCCTTTTGAAAGCCCGACTACTCCGCGTGCTGAGTTTGCACTCAAAAAGAGCGATGTTTCACAAGGCCCGGCCAGCAGACGAGCGTTCCGCATACTGATTTTGTGCTCCAGAAGAGCAGTGTCAAGACCGTGCCACTGGAAGAGCGAACCGCGTACTGAGTTTGTACTCCAAAACAGCAGTTTCAAGGCCCTGCCACTGGTTTCGAAAGACACGTGTAAAATCAATGCAGACAGACATGGATAAGTAAATCACAAAGCGAAGCCCCAAAAAAGACACAGATAACGCAACAAAGAAAGACACAGATGACGCAACAAGTAAAGACACATATTACTCAAAAGAACTTGGGTACGGGAAGCCATTCCTTGCGACATCAGACCGGAAACAAAGAAAAAAAGACACAGATAACGCGAAAAAAAAGACACTGATCACCCCCTTACAGTAAGGGGTACCCTCTCCTTCGCCCCGGACAAGGCACGCAAGCTCATCGAAGCCACTTTGGCTTTGCTGGCAGAGTCGGCCTGGACCGAGAAGATTCTTCGGAGATGGGTCGGTCTGGCGTCTTTCGCGGCAGCCTTCCACAGGTGGAGCGCCGGAGCGCCACAGTGGTCTCCAACCCCGCGGTCATCGATGAGATCGTGACCTTCCTGGCAATGCTGCCTGGCTTCTGACAGGTCCCGCGTGTGTTGAGCTGTGCTGCAGCAAAACTGGAAAGGTTTCGGGACTACCTTTGCAATTTCTGTGGGCCGTAGATTCAAGGGTCATGGGCCGTGAGCCCTTAGCGGGCTGTATTTATGAAAGGGTCATGGGCCGTAGAGCCTTTAAAGGGTCATGGGCGGCTTGGTCCTGTGGCCGGGGAATTTTATTGGGAGACTCCTGTGGATTCTTTTTTCGTATACCGAGAAACACGTTCGGGATGTGTATAGCATTCAGAAAACCCGTTTCAACACGTACAAAAGCATTGATCCACGCATATTGAAGATGTCTCAAGGACCTTTATGCTCTCCGACATTGGTTTGACCACCTTCGGGCGTTTCGACATTCATTGAAACATATTCGGGAATGTTTGGCGCGGGAAGAGAACAACTCGAACATGCGTTTAAACAGTGTGTACGCATTCATCGTCGGAAGGCGTGGCAGTGTTCCAATATACGTTCAAGCATTGGCTTTTAGCATGTCTGGGATGTGTGGCGCTCAACGAAGCCTTTAAAGATGCTTTTGGACATCGGTGCGTGGCCGTTTAAACATGCGTTTAAACGATGCTGGATAAAGGCTCGGGAGGTGGCACGCAGAAAGCAGTTTAAACTTGCGTTTAAACGTGGGCTTAAACACATTCAGGATGTGTGGCACTCAAGGAACCATCTAAGTTTGTTCGGGGCGTTTCACCCGCAAATTTGAAGATGCTGGCGCGCATGCCTCAAGGCATTAGTTTAAACATGTTCGGGATGTGTGGCCGCGTAAACATGCGCCTAAATATCGGTTCACTCATGCCCTGGATGTGTGTGGCACTCAAGGAACTGCTTCAAATGTCCGTTTCTACAGTGGGTTGAACATGCTGTAATTGAATTGTTCGGGATGTGGCAATCCAGGAATACATGTTTTTAAATATTTTTAAACGCCCTTCTTGACCGCGGTTTTACACTCACTGCAGGTGTTTGTGACGACGGCCCCGGCCTCCGGCCTCTACCTGTGAGCCTGTGCCTTGCAGGCTACATCCCTCATCAGGCCGAGCCGAGGCGACGGCTACGCCATCCCACATGTGCTACGGTATACGCGCTGCGCCAACAAGCAACTAAGCCTCCAAGACGGGTACAGGGCATTCGGTATGCACAGAAGGACCGCCCACGGGGCATGCAGGCTTGGTCGCAGTGGCATGGCTGGAACTCGTACCAAGCTTGAGCCATTTGTGGTTTCCCAGTTATTGGAATTGTCGATCTGCTTTTGGAAGCAGCTGTGCTAGAACTGCTAAAGTTAAACAGCGTGAGATACCTTAGAGCACGAGATGCATAGGTTTGGAAACAAGGTGGCAGAGAGGTAAATGAAGGCTCGAGAACAGGCTTTGTCCACCACCCGGCTCCCCAGGGCTCCCCAGCCGGCCATGCTGCATCATCTGCACATGGCTTCATGGCCACAGCAAAAGTCTTCAGCTTGGAGGGTTCTCACACTTTGCTAGCGAAAATTCAGCTTCGTGTCAGCCTGATGATCTTTTGCTGCTGCCCCGTACTTGTTCTTCCTTTTACTTTCGTTTTCTTTCTGTGAGCCTACATAGTCGCGAACCATACCACCTTCCAATGCTAAAGTCAACCTCATCGCAGCCTGTATCACGACCCAATGAATCCCGGCACAAGAAGATCTGGGATGGGTGTAGAAGGGTGACGCAAACCGCACTGACCCTCTGCATTCGCTTGCTTTTGGCGTCTGCTTCCTGTCATTGGTGACTCAAGTCAACTTGCAAGCATCGGTTCCTGGATCCTACGGTCTAGTTGGCCACTGAGAACCTTGCTGGTCGTTGGCACAAGAGGCAAGGAGTCCTGCGCACTACGGTGTGGGACCGCATCCTCCAACATCTCATGTCTTTGAATGCACAAACTACGAACCTTGAGAGTCTCTGAGCCTCGAACCAAGGCCGAAGGAGCGGCCTTTGCCAAAGCCGCGAAGGAGGCGCCTGACGTAGTGACAACGGATCACAAAAGATCTCAGGGGGGGCACTTGGCTGGGTCGGGCCCCCCGCCTCCCGCTTCCAGGAATCGAAGACTGCTGCAATTTGCAGTGTTGCACCAGAAGACACGTTCAACTTTTCTCGCCAACGGTGTGACAACACCGAGTAGAACGCCGGCCCAGGAACTGTGTGAACTGCTGTCCTGTGACCACCGCCGCAGCGCCGCACTGAGCTTGACGACAATCCGGGGGTTGAGGTTCCTTGAGATATCAATGAAAGCCTTGTTGTCACACCGTTGCGTTCGCAAGCAACAGAAGCAACATAACCCATCTCGATACACAAGAGTCATGGGTGTGCACTGTGCAAGTGCTCTTTCGTGCATGCTCTAAAGCTGCCTCGCCTGTGCTGCTCGGGCTATGCCTTGGCTGAGCGACGAGGCTCCACGCAGACCTGACACAAAGCACAGTGTAAATTATCAAAACCAGCGCTTATCCTTCTGCTGATTCGTCCATGTTGTGCGGCTGCTCTGAAGCTTCCTCGCGCGTGCTGCTGCTCGGGCTATGTCCTTGCTGTAGCAGGTGCCTCCGAGCTTGCCTGCCGCGCTGCACACTCTGAATCCGCACAGCTGCGTCTGCACGCGCAATTTCGTCCATGTCGTGCGGCTGCTCTGAAGCTTCCTCGCGCGTGCTGCTGCTCGGGCTATGTCCTTGCTGTAGCAGGTGCCTCCGAGCTTGCCTGCCGCGCTGCACACTCTGAATCCGCACAGCTGCGTCTGCACGCGCTCTTTCGTCCATGTCGTGCGGCTTCTCTGAAGCTTCCTCGCGCGTGCTGCTGCTCGGGCTATGTCCTTGCTGTAGCAGGTGCCTCCGAGCTTGCCTGCCGCGCTGCACACTCTGAATCCGCACAGCTGCGTCTGCAGCTTTCGTCCATGTCGTGCGGCTGCTCTGAAGCTTCCTCGCGCGTGCTGCTGCTCGGGCTATGTCCTTGCTGTAGCAGGTGCCTCCGAGCTTGCCTGCCGCGCTGCACACTCTGAATCCGCACCGCTGCGTGTGCACGCGCTCTTGCAACCATGTCGTGCGGCTGCTTTGAAGCTTCCTCGCGCGTGCTGCTGCTCGGGCTATGTCCTTGCTGTAGCAGGTGCCTCCGAGCTTGCCTGCCACGCTGCAAGCTCTGAATCCGCACAGCTGCGTCTGCACGCGCTCTTTCGTCCATTTCGTGCGGCTGCTCTAAAACTTCCTCGCACATGCTGCTGTTCGGGTGATGTCCTTGCTGTAGCACGTGCCTCCCTGCTTGCCTGCCGCGCTGCACACTCTGAATCCGCACAGCTGCGTCTGCACGCGCTCTTTTGTCCATGTCGTGCGGCTGCTTGAAGCTTCCTCGCGCGTGCTGCTGCTCGGGCTATGTCCTTGCTGTAGCAAGTGCCTCCGAGCTTGCCTGCCGCGCTGCACACTCTGAATCCGCACAGCTGCGTCTGCACGCGCTCTTTCGTCCATGTCGTGCGGCTGCTCGGAAGCTTCCTCGCGCGTGCTGCTGCTCGGGCTATGTCCTTGCTGTAGCAGGTGCCTCCGAGCTTGCCTGCCACGCTGCACACTCTGAATCCGCACAGCTGCGTCTGCACGCGCTCTTTCGTCCATGTCGTGCGGCTGCTCGGAAGCTTCCTCGCGCGTGCTGCTGTTCGGGCTATGTCCTTGCTGTAGCAAGTTCCCCCGTGCTTGCCTGCCGCGCTGCACACTCTGAATCCGCACAGCTGCGTCTGCACGCGCTCTTTTGTCCATGTCGTGCGGCTGCTTGGAAGCTTCCTCGCGCGTGCTGCTGCTCGGGCTATGTCCTTGCTGTAGCACGTGCCTCCGAGCTTGCCTGCCGCGCTGCACACTCTGAATATGCACGCGTCCTGCGCTGTAGCAAGTTCCCCCGTGCTTGCCTGCCGCGCTGCACTCTCTGAATCCGCACAGCTGCGTCTGCACGTGCTCTTTCGTCCATGTCGTGCGGCTGCTCGGAAGCTTCCTCGCGCGTGCTGCTGTTCGGGTTGTGTCCTTGCTGTAGCACGTGCCTCCGAGCTTGCCTGCCGCGCTGCACTCTCTGAATCCGCACAACTGCATCTGCACGTGCTCTTTCGTCCATGTCGTGCGGCTGCTTGGAAGCTTCCTCGCGCGTGCTGCTGTTCGGGCTATGTCCTTGCTGTAGCACGTGCCTCCGTGCTTGCCTGCCGCGCTGCACTCTCTGAATCCGCACAGCTGCGTCTGCACGTGCTCTTTCGTCCATGTCGTGCGGCTGCTCGGAAGCTTCCTCGCACGTGCTGCTGTTCGGGTCGTGTCCTTGCTGTAGCACGTGCCTCCGAGCTTGCCTGCCGCGCTGCACTCTCTGAATCCGCACAGCTGCGTCTGCACGTGCTCTTTCGTCCATGTCGTGCGGCTGCTCGGAAGCTTCCTCGCGCGTGCTGCTGTTCGGGTTGTGTCCTTGCTGTAGCACGTGCCTCCGAGCTTGCCTGCCGCGCTGCACTCTCTGAATCCGCACAGCTGCGTCTGCACGTGCTCTTTCGTCCATGTCGTGCGGCTGCTCGGAAGCTTCCTCGCGCGTGCTGCTGTTCGGGTTGTGTCCTTGCTGTAGCACGTGCCTCCGAGCTTGCCTGCCGCGCTGCACTCTCTGAATCCGCACAACTGCATCTGCACGTGCTCTTTCGTCCATGTCGTGCGGCTGCTTGGAAGCTTCCTCGCGCGTGCTGCTGTTCGGGTTGTGTCCTTGCTGTAGCACGTGCCTCCGAGCTTGCCTGCCGCGCTGCACTCTCTGAATCCGCACAGCTGCGTCTGCACGCGCTCTTTCGTCCATGTCGTGCGGCTGCTCTGAAGTTTGCTCGCAAGCCGGTTTGTTCTCGGTCGAGTTCGCATTTCCCGCTCGAGGTGATAGATCTTTTGGAGTTTCGCGATGAAGACCTCAATGCCGGCACCGGATTTTCTGTATATTTGCAGGTACAAATGCTTTCCGACGAGGCCTGATGTTCTGTTGCTCGGATCGCCAGATTGGATCTCCTGGCATGCACGTTCGGAGGCACAAGTTCGTTCTGAGCTGCAACAGCTCTTTCTTGGAGACCGGTGAAGAGTCAAAGGAGAAGCAGATAGATGTCAGGGCACCAGTGTGTCCTGGCTCTGGCTGTTTGGGCTGGCAAGCCTAAGACGCCGCTCCAGCGCAATCGAATGCACCGATGACCTGGCTGAAGTCCTAGGTCCTAGGGTCCTAGACCCGTTTCGCAACACTGAAGTGGCCTCCAAACTTCCGCTTCCTCTTCCAACTCCTCTGCAGATTCGAGGTGTCTAGAAGGAAGCGAAACTCTTCCAGGCGAGGAGCTGCTTTCATCTTCTCGGCTAGCAGCCTCGGCAGTCCCGCAGTCACTGCGCTTGCACTGGCCTTTCGCAATGGTCTCTCCGCCAAGCAACGTCCGAAGCCTTGCGTCCCTCTTCTCCAGGTCCTCCAGTCGAAAGGGAAATGACATGAGATCTTGTGCGCGTTTGTGCACATTGCCATGGCCTCATGGTACAAACGCCGGACGGACTGCTGAACCTCTCTGCACCGACTGTCGAGCTTCTGCGAACTGCGCTGCGAAACCGCACTCCTGCCTTCGCGGCATCCAGCTGCACATCACGGTGCACAGACTTCTCCTCAATTTCTTGCCTTGCAAGGCAAAGACAAAGCTGAAGCAGCCTGGGACCGTGCTGAGATGTCGTCTTTTCCATCTCCAGTTTCTCGGTGCGCATCTTCTGTAACTTCTCCTGGCACCACATCACGGAACGTAATCCTGTAGCAACTGAAAGTGCAGGAAATGTGGCCTTGCTCTTCCTCCCAAAAAAGCACAATCTGGCCACAACCTCATGCTTCTTGCAGCAAGCGGAGCAACCGGTCAGATGAGATTTCCATCTTATTGTACTGCCAGATTGAACGTGGCAAACACTCTCAGGGAAGCAGCTTGAACTTCCCAAAAAGTGGACGGGTGTTTAGTCTTCCGGAAGACTAAGCCTCCCTGGAAGAGAATCAAGCGTGTTCCCGGCTTTCGTAACTGCAAGACGAGGCTCCCGATCTGGATCTGCAGTGCAGTCACCTGTAGTTCTCTGCGCTTGAAAGTGATCAACGGAGAACAGACCAGGTGGCCGTGCGATGGACGCTGTGCCGCTCGGCATAGTCCGCTTCCATCATCTCGAGATTCTTGGCTCTCTCATCTCGCCGTTCCTGAAGATAAGATCCCTGAACTCTGAACTGTCTCAGAGCTTTCAGCGGGCGCCAGACATCGCGCTGTCGCTTCCAGAGTTCTTGCTCCTGCCGAAGCCCGAGAGCAGGCTAGAAGACTAAGACTAGTTAACGCAAGAACGTCTCCACTTGCTCCTGCACCCAAGCCTGCGAGAGCAGGTTATGGACACGCAAGAAGCAAGAAACCGGGCTGGAGCCGGGCAGAGAAGAGAGCTGTGGCCTTGAAGCCTCTGCGAGGGCTCAGCGGCCCTGCAAGTCGCCACAGTCGGCACCCTCAGGTGGCACGCCCGCTGGCCGCCTCCCTCAGCTCCCTCTCCCGAACGATTGGGAGAGAAGGGCGCCGCAGCTGCCTCGGAGACACGCAACGCAGTGGAGCAGAGCGTTGGATCATTGGAGCTCGCCGGGTCCCGTGACAAATGCTTTTTCATACTTCAAGCGCGTCCTCCCGCGAAGGCGGAAGGCAGCAAGGAGGCAAGGAGAGGGAGGGGCAGAGGGCAAGGTTTGGCCACGCCTCGCCAGCTGCTCCTGGCGAGACTGGACGCCTTCGTGGAGCCTTCGGCAAGCTTCTGCCTTGCGTCGTTGTGGCATCTCGCGTCGCATCTTGCAGAGTTTTGCAGAGTCTGCCAAGCTGCTGCCGGGCCGTAATCCTTCAAAACCTTCGGAGAAAGCCATCTGTTTCTTGCTAACTTCTCCGCTTCTCTGCTCGCAGCCTCAGGCCAACAACACTCGGCTGCGCTGGCATCTTTGCTGCGGCCCGCAGTCTCAGAACGTGGCGCGGCTGTGCTGAGCCTCGGTGCCCCTTGCATAGAGGCGCTCGTGAACGGGCCACCGAACGGCCCAGTCCTCCCCGTCCCTCGGAGCCGAGATGACTCGTGAGCCGAGCGGGAGAGCGGCCGAGAGCGGAGAGCCGAGTCCAAAGCGAAGTTTCGGAGCGGGCGGAGAGCCGGGCGGAGCGGCGTGTCTTTGGAGACCTGGCAGGAAGATCAAAGGCCGTGTCTTTGCCCTCACCGAAGTCGAGTCACCTCGACGAGCCACTCGCGCCGACTGGGCTCTCGGACCTGAGCTCCAAACACTTCAGACGTCGCTTTGCCAAAGTTCCCGCTTGAGAGGCACAGAAAGTCCCGCAGTGCAGAGTGTTTGGGCCGATTTGGCGTTAAAAGTTTCGTCAGGAGTTTCTGTCTTTCGGTTTGGATTCCGTTGATCGGGGTCTTCTTGCGCAAACACAGCAGTTGGCAGTTGCCTTCTCCTTGCGGAGCTCGGACGCTTTCCTTGGAGATACGCAGAGACGCCTCAGCGAGGCCAAGACAGGCGCGCGATGCGGGCGCAATGCCGGCTCTGCCCGCCTTCGGTATTGGCGGTGCCGAAGCTGCGTTGGATCTCGCTTTGAATCTCCCTTTCCATCTCCGAGTCCGAGGGTGTGCTCTCCGAGCTCGGCCAGCTCGGCTCCTCTTGCTCGCTGCTGCGTCCAGCGAGTGGGAGAGAGACGGGCCCGGGTCGCTTCTCCAGGAGTGAAAGGCTCCTCGGCACCGAAGGAGACCTCCGAGCTGCCTAGCGCCAAACCAAGCCTTAGCAGAGACCCGGCTCCACAGAACGGGAAAGCTTACAGGCCGCGGCTCTCGGCCGCTCGTTGACTCCACGACAGCTGTTGCTAACCTCACCGCGCTTCTTCTCTTTGAGGTCTCAAGGGTCTCCCCTCCGCCCCTCCCGAGGCACTCGTCGTCGTCTCGCTCGTCGGGCTGCGGGCTCGAAAGCTCTCTCTGCGCACCCATGAGCCTCAGATCGCGTCAAGAAGCTTTCGCTGATGCGTCAACTTCGGGAAACGAGCGGCTCGTCCTCATCCCAATCGCTTCGGCCTGAAAGCCGAACAGAAGGGAGCAAAAACAGCAGGGCATGGCGGCACGGCGGCACGCCCGGTTGAAAGTCGAGGTCCCGGCCAGCGAGCCTCAAACATCCCCCGAACGTTTTCAACACTCGTCAAGTCGGAGTCGTCCCAAAACCCACATCCGCGTGTCTCCACATCTCTCTCTCTCTGACAGCGCCTGCTGGGCAGCGTCCGCAGCTCCATGGCCGAGCGGCTCGGCCCCGGCCCGTAAGCCGAGCAGAGGCTCAGAGAGGCTCAGAGGGGGAGCCTCAGCGGGAGCCTCCCAGGCGCCATGGCCGAATCCCAGAAGTCTTCGCTGGCTGCTCTCTTCCTCACTCTCAAAAGCGGCCGAAGCACTACCAGTATCTTCGGCGCAGCTTGAGCCAAGTATGCGAAGTTCTGTGCTTGGCTCCCTCAGCACGCTCTCGGAGCACTCGCTCGGAGCAAGATTTTGCCGCCGATCGCGCTCCTCGGACTGCAGCAGGACGGGCCCCGGCGCAGCGACGCGAGTCGCTTGGCGATATGCGCGTTGCTCGGGGCACTCGGGGCGCCGTCGTGAGCCTGCACAGAAGTCTCCACAGAAAGGCCTTCCCTCGTGCAGTCCCCCCCTCCTCGCGCCTCGTGACTTGAGTTGGGAGCTCAAGCTGCACCTGAACCGGGCGTCACCACCATCTGAATCTGAACAGGTACTATGGAAGGAGCTTCAAGTACTGTCGATACCCACCTGGTGGCCGGCTTCGACTGTGTGTCCTTGGCGATCAACTGAAGAACCTGAGTTCTAGACACTCGCGCCGATCGTCCGATGTGACACATCCGCCAAAAGTATGAAATCAGTGTTAAGCCGACAAGAGTGTTTGTCTCTTGAAGCGGGGCCTGGCGAATCCAGTTCCCAGCTCATAAAGACAACAACAAGAAGTGGATATGTGATATGATGTGAAAGACGAGTATCATCCATGTATCGACCCAGCGGACCGCCTGAAGCTGGAAACAACAAGTTTGGTACTTGGAAGCTTCCGGTCCGGTTCTCGGTTCTCGAGTGGACATAAACTTTCCGAGGGACAGAGCAAGCGCCTTCGCCTCCGTCTCTTCTGCTTTGCGCCCGCCTTTGACATTGGCATCTGTGGCCTCTTGCTGCTCTTGCTCTTGCTCGTGTGGCTCTCGCAGATGCTGCGGCAACCATTCTCCAGGGATCTGCACCTCGGGTTACGCTTGTGGGGGCCCGGCGGGCCTGCATGGAGCGAACGCTTCCCTCTCCTTGTCTTGTGAGTCTTCTGCCACCGCCTGCACTGCCTGCACCGCCTGCGCCTGCATGGACGCATCACGATACAGGCGAGTCGTCAGACTCAGCACCGGCCACAGTCAGACTGTGGGTTTATGAGCACAAAGACTCGGTGACTCGGCTTCTTCACACTGGCCTCATGTGTGGCGCCCATGCGATTGCTGCGACTCGAGCCCAAGCGAAGGCCGAAGGCTTCGGCTTCGGAAACAGTGCTCTGAGCCTCGGAGTGCTTAGAGAGAGAGAGAGAGACGGAGACAGAGAGAGCTCTGCAGGAGCTCAGGAGCTCAGCTCCTGAGCTCCGATCTCTTTCCTCCGGTCTAACCGAATCGGCCGAGACGCGCCTCGCTTCCGAGATGCCTCCTGCAGCTTCGGAAGCCCCAAGCAGAGAAGAGGAGAGAGCGCCCTGCGAGAGCCGAAGTTCCAATTTTCTGACCATAGCCATCCTCTGATCCTCTGAGCCTGGGTCTCCAGGGGCCTCTGGGTCTCTGGGCCCGGTCCCGGTGCCTTCTCCGAGACGTGACTCCGGGAAGCTTCAGCTTCAAGCCGCTTGAACGACGGACTCAGGGACCGAGACCTGCGAGACCTGCGCGCTCACTGAAGCGCCCAAGCAACAGAGGACTCCAAAAATTTTCCTCTGCTGCACTGCTGCACTGCTGCATGTCCCATGCCATGTCATGTGGTGTCGCGTTGTGTCGCGTCGCCTGTCGGCCCTCGGCTCCAAGCTCATGCTGCGCAGCTGCTGCTCGGCTCTGCCATCTCTGGCCGCCTGGCCTACGCTCTCGGCCCCCTCCTTCCCCGCTGGCCCTCGGCCCTTCCCTAGAGCCGAAGCGGAGCAGCGGAGCCTTCAGGAAATTTGCAGCTTCAGCGACAGAGCCCTGCAGCTTCCTTGGTTCAGCGACGGCAATTTCGACACGCCTGTTCCGGCCTGACTCGCCTCTCGTCTCTGTACAAAGCGGAAAACACAGACGTTGGGGGACTTCAAGCACTTGGGATTCGCAGCTCTTGGAGTCGCGAAGAAACAGGAACCGAGCTAAGACATGCATGTTATTCGGTTTTGCTTTTGTGGGCCTCCCGTGGGCACATGCTAAAAGCTGCGTTGCACCGGAAGCGCAGTGCAATGCGTGCAGTGCAATGCAGTGCGCCTTCGCTTTGAGGAGTTGCTCTTCCTCCCACCTGGGCAATGGCCACAGCACGGCAGCACGGCGGAGTCTCCGCCGGAGGACCGGAGGAGCGGACGTGTGGTCGCTGCCGCCGATCAACCAGAAATGGCCCTTCGTCTGGACGAGGATCCTCGTCACCACCTCCGCGACGCGACGCGACGCTGCTCTGCTGCTCTACTCTACTGCGCTCCGCCGCGCTGGGCCTGGGCGAGCAGCGCGAAGGCAGCGTCACTGGCCTTGGCGGAGCGGAGCGGAGCGCGGAGCGGCTGCGCTCGCGGCTCTGCGCTCTCTCTCTCTCTCTCTCTCTCTCTCTCCGTCCGTCGCAGGGCGCAAAGGAAGGCGCGCCGCAGGGCGGAGGTGTGTTCGGTTCGGTTCGGTGTGTGGTTTGGCTTGGGCTCGGAGCGAGGTAAGCAAAGACAATGGCGATGGAGATCCGCACAGGATACCTGTCACGACGTCACATGAGACGCCCAAAGCGGATTGCAAACATCGCCTGCCATCTGCAATCTTGATCATATCAGGAGCCCACCTGAGAACAACGTGGCTTCAGTTCTCTGAACACGTAGAACTCTGAGAACCGCACACCAGAAAGCCGACTGCAAGGGCTCCGTTAAAGATGGCGCGGCAGAGCTCCTCTCGCATGGAAAAAAGCCCCTGGCTTGATGCTCTGAGCTCTGCTTTGCCGCTTTGCTGTCGCTTCGGTCCTTCACCAGCAAATGATAGACGTCACTCCTGGAGATGAGGCTTTTGCGCCAAGATGCGGCCACCGTGTGCCTGCGGCACCGTGGTGTCACATGCCCATGCTCCGCTTCAGTCCGCGGTGCAAGCCGAGATGCGCCATGCGCGCAAATTGGACAAGAATCTGGGCCAATACCGGCAAAGCCTGCAGCACGGGAACCCCAGAGACATTCAGGACTGGCAAACCTGGAATGGGCAGAAGTTGTTGATGGTCTTACAACCCATACCCCCCTACACTTTTACACCTAAACAAAATAAGCCTAATCAAATAGGGGAGTTGTAAAGACCATCTTTCCAATGGGCGTGCCTAGGATTGATGGAATTTATGGGTTTGGGATGGTTCGGGGCTTGGGGGCAGTAGATGATTTCAGCTGATGAGCTGGAGCATCGAGAACGGCGACAACATTCGCGATGCCCTCAACTTCAGAAGGACCGAGCACATTTGTTGGTTGCTGATTGCGCTGTACGATCCAAATGTTTTGATGAATTGAAAGCACCGGTGCTTCTCCTCACCGTTAACAGCGGTCATACAGCACGCCAGTTGGGGTCAGAAGACAGTGTGACGAGCGTCAGACATATTACCAATACTAGTGCTGGCACTGGTGCAGGCGCTACTTGTGCCCCTTGCTTCTGCCGCTCTCCTGCTCCTCGTCCTCGAGGGCGTGAAGAAGGCGGGAAGCGTCGCGAGGCGATGCGCACGAGAAGGAACATTGAAGAGCGCGGATCGCAGGGTTGGGGGGTTGTCACGGCCGCAGACCGCAGGTCTCCGAAAAGGAGTCTGGGGAAAAAAGGAGGACGCTCATGCTCTTCGCGGGGTTGAAAGCCTGAGACCCCTGTTCAAACACCATACACATGTGGGAAGGTCACACTCATATTCGCAACATTCAGGTGCCTCGATCTTTCGATTCCATTTTGTGCACATGAAGAGATAAGTTACTTTAATAACAATGCGAAATTACCAAGGGCTGTAAACAATGCGATCGTCTTGAAGCCGCGCCACTGTTTGCATGAAAATGCAGACAATGAACATCGCCTTCCTGCTAGAAGGGGAAGCCTACTACTGCTGCTACCCGCTGCTGACTACGTCGTGGACGAGCAGTAGTAGCAGTAGTAGTAGTAGTAGTAGAAGTAGTAGTAGTAGGAGCACGCAGTGGCTGCGAGGGCAGCCTGACGCGGACGTCGATCCCGTCGCCCCGCCTCCCAAGCCTCAGACAAAGTCGTTGGCCAGCTTTTTTAGACCTAGGTCGAATGGCACAGCCTCCAACTCGTCGAGCACAGCTCGTCATCCTACAACAGACTCGAACCAGGAGTCTGTGGCGCAGGCCCCCAGGAACACAGAGCCACAGCCTACAGGCTTACACAAACGCGTACTGTCTAACACGGCAAACTCCTGCTACGCTAACGCTCTCTTCCAGGCCTTGCATCAAGTATCGAGCTTTGGGTATGATCTGGGTGCTTTTCAATCTGTCCTAACCCTTCTCGGGGATGAGAGTGCCCCTAGACTTCTGAACTTGTTCGGCCTGTTTGAATTTCGCCATGCCATTGCCGGTTGGCGACTAGATGGCAGGCAACACGATGTCTCAGAATTTCTTCACCATCTGCAGCAAAAGCCCATGGGATCCCTTCAGCACACTCAGTGGCAGGGTCGTACTGGGGGAATCGTTGAGGAGTCGGATGTGGGAGTCAGTCCTCTTCTCCTTCCCCTTCCGACGGGACCTCTGTCTCTCCAAGCCTGCCTAAGATTCTGGGAATCGCAAACGTTTAGTCGAGCGCTGGTATGGGCCCCAGAACTCCTAGCTGTTGTGATTTGCAGATGGCAAGACGGTGTCAAGAATACCCAGCCGTGCGCCTGGACCGGCCGTGCCATGGTGTCCGTGTGGACATCCAGCGAGCACACTGCCCAACGATCCTACCAAGTCCTGGCAGGAGTTGCCCACTTTGGGGACTCCCGAGCGTCCGGGCACTACCGAGCCTTCTGGCCAGAGGACCCCGCGGATGCGAGATCTCAGGTGTGGATTTGCGACGACTACAAGCTTCCGGAGAGGGCCTCAGCGGCCTTGGTTCAATCACTTTCCCGAAACGTCTACATGCTTTTCTTGCAACGAACTCGTTAGCATCATCGCTTAAGGCGATGCATGCCGGCCCAACCTCGGCCCTCAGGGCTAAGCAGGGCGCCCGTGCGTGAGAAGCCCGTCGTCAATTTCATGTTGACGCAGGCCGCCTCACGTCAAGGCCAAGTGTGTCATGAGCGCACGCGGACATGCACACTCTGTAATTTCCTTACTCTCAATCAGCTCTTTTTATTTAGTCAGCTTCCCCCCAGCTCCCTTTGGCCGTCATGACTGCCTCGCCTGCTACTGCCACGAGCCCGGAGCACAAGCATCTGTCGCAGCCGGGTTGAAATGACAACAGAAGGCAAAAGTTGCCATCGTTGTCAACCCTTCCGCCTCAAGCTTCGCGATGCTCTCATCCGACACCCCAGTGTCTTTGGCTCGCGCTTTGAAGGCTGCCGCGCTCTCCCCAAAGGACATGGCTCCTAGTGCTAGGTTCACTCAAGATCAGTCTAGGGCCCAGCACGCCTTGCAATCACTTTTAGCGTCGGCGAGAATGCCGCTCCCTAGTGCGCCACTTTTTAGTCCAGCTTAGTGCTGATTTGCTCTTGCCCCAATATGGGCGCTTCGGCTAAGCACCCATTTTAGTACGGGAGCAATTAGTAAATGTCACAGACTCCTCAAATCCCGTATGGCACAGCCTCTGGGAATTCGGTGCTCTTCCGACGCTTTTGCAAATCTCTTCGGGAGCTGTAGAGCAGCGCGCTAGCCACGGCAAAATGCAGGACACTGCACTTCGCCGCCGATATGGAGTCCGACTAGCTCTAGGAATAACGGAAGCAGTCCAGCATGAGCGTGTCCGGTCTAGGTTTACGACATGTGCTTACTCCAGCATGAGCGTCGGATACTCTAGGCCCGAAGTACGACCTACAACACAGAATAAAGCGGCTAAGCCAGTTTCACGAGGAAAAGCGCTAGCAGAGCAGTGAGCGCTCGTTCTAGTAGTAGTAGTAGTAGTAGTAGTAGTAGTAGTAGTAGTAGTAGTAGTAGTAGTAGTAGTAGTAGTAGTAGTAGTGGTAGTAGTAGTAGTAGTAGCGGTAGTAGTAGTAGTAGTAGTAGTAGTAGTAGTAGTAGTAGTCGTAGTAGTAGTAGTAGTAGTAGTCGTAGTAGTTTTTTGTCACCCACCTGGCACACCTGTGGCAGCTCCGCGGGACTTAGGTATGGCAAGTCACAACGGGGCTAGTTTACCGGAAAACAGCGCAACAGAAGGTAAAACCACAGACTAAGCCCCATTGATCCGGACAACTTCGGAACTACGTCTGCTTCCTCTAACTACTTCAGGCTTGCAATCGGACTCAGCCGAAGTCTCCACGCCACTTCATGGAAAAGTTTGCTCAGAGGCTCTACAGGTTTGACAAGAATTCAGTGCAGTCTAAATCAGCCAACAGTCCCCAATTCACATGCACAGTACAAATGCAGGTTTGAATTCGTGTGTATGCGCTCCTGCTTCTTTGAGGGCACGACCCGGGGCCTAAGCGAAGCTACAACCACTTGACTGTACATGTCATGGCCTATCTCAGTGCTTGCTTATTCGTCTCACTTTCTTGCTCATTGTGACAGTTACGTCTTGCAGAGTCTCATCCATGCTGTTTCGCATGTCCCATGTCTTTCCAGCTTCACGGGCTGCATCCCCAGCCACCACTCGATCTGTTGCCGCTAGTTCGGACACGCCAAACCAGTTTTTCAGGGACTCGTGTGCCAGCTTTGACTTCGAATAGCGGCGGTTGGTCCCAGCTATTTCGAGCGTCAAGCTCGGCGGTCGGCAAAACGAGGGGCGCAGGTAGCATGTAATCCAGCTTCTCAAGTGTCCGGTCCAGTGTAGTCGAGCAGATGTGTGCGCCCGTACTTTTTGCAAAGGCCTGAGGGATCGCATTGCGGGACACAAAATTCAGACCCTCCTGCGTGTGAGAGGTTCGGGCAGCCAAGCAGGCATTTGCGTCCGCATTTTCAGCAAAAGGCTTGCGGTGTCACACATCCAGGCGGCCAGTCGCACTGGTAGCACGGCAGGTCAATAAGGTCGTCCCGAGCAGACATGGTCGTTTTCCACCAGTTGTTAGGCAGCTCCTCGTCTCAAGCCAGATGTTCTCGGGTGCTGTTGGAGTCTCGTCCCGATCACGTCTCACTGTTTTGTCAGAGAGCGGAGGAGCCATGGCTTGACCGTTACGCAATGCTATTTTAGTCAGGGCTCACAGCCTAACACAGGGAGTGGGGTTGAGATTACAATTACATGTCAGGGACCAAAATCCACTGCCAGGCATCTCCAGGTCACTCAGCATATTGCACACGAGGGTTGGTCAAGACTGGACGACAGAACCACTCCGGACCAGGGGAGAAGCAGCAGGAAAGGCAGTGCAGTAGGATAGTGTCGGTGGCAAGCAAGGCAAGGGCGTGCAAAGCAAGGAATTCGCAACACAAGCAAGGGGAAAAAACAGCAAAAGGGACATGCGTCTGTGAATTCGCATGGTGCCGCCTGCATGCAGCATCCAGGTTCATCTCGCCACCCACATCGCCACCGAGACGAAACCACGTGTTACGGAGGAATCATCACTACCTCGTCACTCACTTCACCACCACACGAGGACGACATACGCCATGTAAGAATCACCAGGTCATCCTGCTCTTGTGGTTGGCTTGCTGTTTGAATGGGGAGAGGTGGTCGCTTGCAAGGGTCGCTGAGGAGTAACAACTGACACAAAAGATCAGGTCTATCGACATCACTACCCTCAACTCGAAGCTCCCCTTCCGGAGAAATGGTAGTTTGACAGTGCATTGTGCGAACATTAAACGCCCCCCATACAAGATCGAGACATCTGTGCTTCCAGGATTTACGAGTCACATCTGTCAGTGCTTGTCTGCACTTCACTCGTGTGACTCTCTCCCTAAAGCTGTTTGGTCGAGTGTTGCTTTCACGGTCTTGGACAAGAAAAAAGACGGTGACGCCGGCTTGTCAGGCCGACGCCACCGTTGGGCCACACCCAAAGAGGGGAGTTGCCCCCGACCCCCCGTTTGCGCCCTCCGTTAGCCCTGCCAACTA